TGAGACGAACTGGACATGGTCGAGAGATGATCAAGTACTTCGTCATGTTCTTGATCGCAACCATCCAGAGAAGCAACATCTCCTTCCTCAAAAACAACGGACAAACTAGAGAAACAAGAAACATCCGGTGAAGGATTCAGAGCTAAAGACGATGGCGACGAAAAGTGCACCGCGCATAAACCTTAAAACCTGACTCATCTCCTCCATCGATCTGCACATCACCATCTGCAACAACAGAAATACCTTGTCCCGATGCAGAGGGTACGCTTGACGGAGCACTCCTTACCGGCTGTACATCATCGCAGAGTTCCAACGTCGAGGTCAGCCACGCCCAAACGAGTCCCTCCATGGGTTGTGTCTGACCCCCTGTGATGGCTAGAGGCCTAGAGCACCATTTTCAGCCAGTCCTGGACAAGAAGGAACCGCCGCCGGAGAAGACTCATTCATCGCGGGCAGTGAGGAGGAATCTCAGAGGTGGCTCCACAGGATCATTGATCCGTTTTTGTGGTTAGGACACAGCGCCGACGAGGACAGGGTGCATCTGCACGAAACGCACGACGACCTGCTAGCCGGATCGACAAATATCAGACGAGAAACAGTGGCCGGATCTGGACACAAAAACGCGCCAGAAAACCGGAAGGAATTGGAGCCTCCGAAGGCGAAGCCCCGATGACCCTCCCCTGAGATCGTACAAACAGTCGCCCCTCCACGAAACCCGGATTTAAAAATTCAAAATTCAAGATTTTTTTAGTTCTTAAGCAAAGCCATAGCCTCTGATTAATTTGTTGGGTAAAATGAAGGGTGGAGTGAAGGAGCAGCGAATATATACAGCGCCCAACAAGTATAGTGATAAAATAATTACTATCTGTATCATTTCCACCGCCCAGCATGCTGTTATACTCCGGCCTCCCCTCCTGTACTGGGTTGGTACATGGGTTGAACCTATTACGCTGGAGTGGACTGAATCCATTCACCAGAATGGTTTGGGGTGGATTGGACAGGAATTCAAAGTGGGTTGGATTGGTTTGGGTGTTGGAGGAAGAGAAATGGATTAGTGTGTTGCTTTCGTGAGGAGATGGGCTGGGGTGGATTCGAACTGGATTCCTGCCCCACTAGCAGGCCTTACTGGCAAGCCAAATGGACTATCTCGAACTCCAAGGCCAGCAAGCGACAGACGGTGAACCTCTGAACCGACTGAACAGATGCAGAGTTGATTAAAGCACGTTGGATGCTATTAAAGGTGTGTAGTCTTTATTCTTAATCTCCTTAATCTGTAGTAGTAATCAGCAGCCGTCGGAAGGGAAGTGGAAGGCTAAGCAAGGGTCGAAGACTCAAAGGGTGCCGCTTGCACCGGTCGCTTCCCATGCCCGTGCGGGAGGAGCGCTAGCGGCGGAGACCTGGCATGGTGCTCCATTCCAGGCGACGAAAGCGTCACGCTTCCGTAGGGGAGAGCGAACTGGCTAGGGAAGGGGAGGGAAAACGCTTCTATCCGGTTGTCCCATCTCGAAAAAAAAATTGGACCTCTCGCTATTACTTTGATGTATGTGGCCTTTTTGTCAGATCCTACATATGCTTCCTTACTAAGCAGCATATATGAAGGAGAGAGGACACGAGATATTTGCATGTACATAATATCCTTTTAGTAAACTTGAAAATGATTTTTCTTCTAGATTACTTATCCAATTTATGATCCGATTACACCATGGTATTTGTTACAATTAAATCTTTACAACAAGAACTCACATGACTATATTATAATAAAAACACACATATGTTTCAACCAATTCAATTTAATGTTTCACATGTGAGAATAAGATGTTTCAGCTGACATTTTATTATGTTGCACATATTAAATTAGTGTCGCATGTATATATCTTTCTATATTGTATCACATGGTGCTATTTGTATGTTTCAGTAAGTAGTTTATTATGTTTCACTGGTTTATTTGTAAATGTTGCATATGTGTTGGTTGAGTGTTTCAATAAGTATTCACTAGTTAATTAAAAATATTTCACACGGTATCATTCATATGTTTTAGCAAATATTTAAAATGTTGTAAATATTATACGATTGGATTATACTATCATATTTGTTGCAATTAAATCTTTATAACAAGGTCTCACATGATTACATTCCGATAAATTTTAATTTTAGCTTATTTTTGTGTTGCGGTTGATTTTTTCCGAACGTTGCACACTAATTTATTTGGATGCTCCAATAAATATTTCCCGATGTTTCTTTAGTTCATTTTGCAAATGTTGCATGTCATATTATGTATAAGTTTCAGCAAGTGTTACTTTATGTTTCAATAGTTACAACTCGATGTTTCATATACATGTGCTATGAAAATATTTCAAGAAAATCAAGTCTTTGTAAATATATAGTATTTATCATACTATCTTCTTTTGTGTTTCATTTGTTAAGATTCAATGTTTCATGTAGTAATTATTAGTGTTTCAATGATATTAAATATTATATCTCTTTGAAACATTATTAGAAGCGAGTTGAAACATTTGACCTCGAGTGCGGAAACATTTTTTATAACCGATGAAACAACACATTTTTAATTATTTTTTATCAAAATATAATCATGTTGGATCTTACTGTAAAGATTTAATTGTGATGAATACAACGGTGTAATCGAATTATAGATTGGATAAATAATTGAGAAGAAAAAATCATTTGAAATTTTCTAGCAAAGTTGGTTTATGCTAGCATTTGATGGGAGAGAGAGGAGAGAGAGTAGTTAAGTCACCATACACAAAAATAATAAAGTAAGGAAGCAACAGTGCATAGCTACATACATGGAGCAGAACCATGTGAGTAGCACACTAATCCAGAGTAGCGTCCAATTTTTCGTAATCCATCGGACGTCCGATCTCTAGTTCTCTCCGAAGGGGAGGAGATGGATGGGCTCTTGGTCTGAATTGTGTGTGAATTGCGTGGGCTATGTACACCAATGGGATTTTAAGCGTGCAGAGCAGGATCTAGACCATCAAGATTTGATCCAGCAGCTATCATTTATTTGGATGATATGAATGAACCACAATATAGAAAATTGGGTAAAAGTAAAGTACACGGTCCTTAAAATTGTAAAGGTGTGTCATCTAGGTCCTCAAACTCTCAAAATACACAAGTTCTAGGCCCCAAATCACCACAGTCTCTCTAGAATCCTACATGACGTTGATATGGCATGTCACACGGACATGACGTGGTATAATCTTGACTGACAAAATGGGACTCACTTGAAAATTTCCCTTTTCCTTTTTTTTTCTTTCCTTTCCTTTTTATTTTACTTTTTCTTCTCATTCTATTTTTCCCCCTTCTCCTTCCTCTCACTGCAACTGTAGTCCATCACTGCACGGGGTGGTAGGGTCACAGAGAAAACGAACAAAAGGAAGAAAAAAGAGAAAGAGAATAAAAGGAGAAGAAAGGAAGAAAAAAGAAAAAAAGGAAAATTTTTAAATGGATCCCATTTTTCAGTCAAGATGATGCCACATCACATCCGTGTAGCATGCTACATCAGCACCACGTCTAGAGGGACCTAGACGACACACTTTGACAAGCTCTGATACTTGGATCTATATTCTGAGAGTTTAGGACCTAGATGACACACTCCTGTAAATTTAAGGACCTCCTGTATATTTTAATCATTGGGTAATAACTACAATAACTAAGTGGGAATCACTTATATAGATTTATAAAATAAGTGTAAGCAGATTCGTATAAAAGGTTTGATTAAAGAAATGCATGCTAGTAAGGACATATTGTGCTGCCTTTGCTAGGCACAATGTTTGTTTTGGAAGGATAGGCACAATATTAGTGGGGAATTTTTTTTTAGAAGTACTATACTATTATTAAAATATCTCAGATTATGGGGAATGCCAAAAAAAAATATGAAGAGTAATATCTGAGGTATGAAAAATTAACAAGTAGTGAAGAAAAAAACTATTCCTGATTTTTATCTTTCCTATTTTTAATATCATATCTCACAAACAAAGTTGACTTTACTCTTTAATTTTATATTTCTATGGTTGTCTAATATGACCTTAGTTATATGTGGGATTTATTTTTAGAACTATCATGGTTCCCACATATAGATAGTGGTTTCCACCATTGTTTTACCCATATTAGCATCCACTTCACCAGGAGAATTCCCATTTGTTTATTTGGGTCTTTTAGCAATCCCCACAATGTTGCATTTGGATCTTTTAGAAGAGACATAAAATGATAAAAGCATTAACTATAATGAATTCACATTGAGATTTCTAATGAAATTTTATGTCGTGTTGATCCAGCAGCGGTTGCATTGAAGCATATCCGCACGATAGAATATTTTTTGAATGACTCGCACCACACAGCGCGAACGCACGATAGAATATTAAATAAGATGTTAGTTTTCCCTTTGATGATAAACTAGGACAAAGAAGTAGCATTAGCATGAAGGAGAGACTAGTACTATGACATGTCCCACAGATATGGTATGGGAAGTCATTTAAAAGAGTCGGAGAAAAATATAGTGCTGTTTTTTCCTCACAAATATAGTGTACAAGTAGAAAACTACATGATGTGTCCCATGTTATTTAGCTTATTGTGTATATCAAGGGTGCAACGGATAAATATCTTCCTTTTGAGGAACTATATGTAATAATATCGCTTTTTTTTCATTTATGTAATAATATTATGAATGTAATAATATTGCTGTTGATGCCATGAACAATACTTCAGATTTTATCAGTGGACATATATGCAATGCAATGTTTAATTAGCAGAAACAAATGAAAATAATGAAGAAATATAATAATACATGTAGCTCATCCATTGAACCTGTTAGTTCTATAATACTCCCTCCGTCCTATTTTAAGCGCAATAATAAGTTTACATGTCCAACTTTGATCGTTCGTTTTATTTAAAATTTTTTCTGACCTAGAGAAATAATATGTATGGCCTATGAAATACATTATAAATAGTTATCTGATAAAACATCAATATAATAAAAATAACAGCAAATTCAAAATAGTTATTTGATTTAAACAAGAAATACAAATTTCAAGCATCCCATGTTAGCAAAACTGAGAAGATGACTTAGATTTTACGAAAACTCCATTGGGATTTGGGAGATTTTACGGAAACTCCGTTGGGATTTGGGAGATTCGGCTGTGTTTAGTTCACACTGAAGTTTGAAAGTTTGGTTGAAATTGGTACAATGTGATAGAAAAGTTGTGTGTATATGAAAGGTTTGATGTGATGGAAAGTTGGAAGTTTGGAAAAAAACTTTGGAACTAAACAGGGCCTCGAAACCTAGCCTGCCATGGTAATAAAAGCACTTGTTGAAAGATCTGAGCAACCTCAGCAGGGTAGAGAACACAACCTAAGGGTGCTACGGCAGAAGCACCAAACTGGTTACAACTTAAAAGGGCTGAGTTGTGCTGTCTATTCTTTGGTATAGACAAAGGCTGCTAATTCTGTTCAAGTGTTCATGATGAGGCTTGTTCAGCTGCCATAGCATCACTGATGATGTCAGTAGACGGTAATTCTTCCGTACTTAATTGGTCTTCATTTGGGGTCGGATGTGTCTGTCTTAATGGGTATAGCAGAGTGCCAACTTGGGCCATATGCATGAGATTGAACTCTATCTATACCTTGACATGTGACATTTTATAGTGTCTCTCACGTACTGCTCCATGTTTCCCAAGATTTATGTCAGCAGGAACTCATTTTAAAATGAGAAAGAAAAATGATAACCGAATTCTCTTCACAAGTCTACTTGTGCTTTGCAGACTGCACATGTTAGAAACTTGTACCTATATGTTAACCAATGAGCTCAGCGACTCTTTTGATAAGCATTTCCTTTGTCCCTCCAACCTTCACTTTTCTTGCACTAAGGAAGCACTTCAGATCTGCAACTGTTAGCAAACGCAGCTCACCTCGCTTCTGATGATCTGTCACCTGAAATTTTGGCATCGAGCTATTAAATTATTATAAAAAAGCAGTTATATATCTATATGATCATCAGACATTTTTAAGAAGCAAAAAGTTACTGTTACCTTTCTAACTATGTCATCATTGAGTACATCAGAGTTTGTTTTTGAGTTCATTGAAGTTAACTCAGTGCTGTTAACTACTCTCCTTCCTTTTGCCTTTGTTGCCTTTTTCATTAGCTCATCCTTCTGATTATCTACCACCTGAAGGAATAAATTCATCATTAAGATCACAACATCAATATGGAGAGCTATCTAGACTACAATCCGAAAGAAAATTTGTAAGATCACCTTTTTAGTGAAGTGGTCTTTGACATCTTCTGTTCTTATTGTTGGTTTTGTTACTGCAGTTAACACATCTTTGCGAACCTTCTGTTTAGTCTTTGAATTTGTTGGTGCAGTTTTCTCATCATTGCTGACTACACACTTCAATGTTGGTTTCATTACCTTAGTGCTAAGCATATCATTCTTGACACCTGGTATTGCTCTAGTCTCATCTGGGACTTGAGGTATACAATCTTTACTGTGCATAGAGAAACATTTGAGTCAGGAACAAGCAATTAAGATTTTGATGTGTGCATGTACTGCAGAAAAAATATAATAAAGAGAATAATGTTCTGAATTCCATATGTCATGTAGTATGGGAGCCAAAAACAAATAAATTACTGGATTCCTAGAATTCATAACATAATAGCTTATGATCAGAAGATAATAAATAATAGCTTACTGTCTATTCTCAGTCACCAGTCCAAATTCAGAGAAATTTCCTTTTTGTCCAGTTCCAGTATCCACATAGCATTGTCAATATGTAATACTGTAGGACGATTATTCCCATTCTAATAAGAACAAAAAAAAAAAGCCCTACCCAAGGGGAGAGACATCCCAAAGGCATTACAGTTAAGGTCGAGAAAAGGCCCCGAAAGCCCCAAAAAATTCTTACCCGTACAGGGACTCAATTGCCACAGACCATGTCTTAACACGTACTTTAGAGGAACATACAACAAGTGGCAGCCTTTTTTTTTTTTTTGTGAGAACGAGGGTTCGAGCCCTAGTTGACACAACTAGAGGGCTTACACCGTGCTATAAGAACAGAAAATGTTATTTCTTGTTGCTGCACACCAAATGCAAATATCTAATGAAGCAAAAAAGTCACAGGGCCTGCCTGGAAGGTATTTCTGGGGCTGTGACTTTGCCAAAAATACATGAACAATGCAATGAAGAATAGTTTAAGGATAAAATTTTTACACTTACATGCTCTTAGTGCTACAAAAGCCAAGCTGGAGAGGCGAAAGCAACAAAAATACCTCTAGTTATTAATTCTAAAATCAAGTTCTAAATTCAAAATTGACTGCATGTTATACAAGTCACAGCTCAAACAAGCGACCCAGAGACCCTCCCAAACTACCCATTAAGTTGAATGGTTTCTCTGAAGTACAAGGTATCGCTTTATGCAAGATACAATATTTGTACGTAACAATAAAATTTTATGTTAGATGACCAAGAATAGAATTCTCTAACACACAAATAAATATGAAAAGATTAGATACATATCTTCCTGCTTGTATCCAAATTTTCCTTTTGTGAGTAATCCTGTAAATGCACTGCACAGAAGGAATTTTAGGTTTTGTACTTATTCCTACAAATGGTATGTGCTGAAAGAAGAATTTACTGATGGTTAGTACTTGATACCTTTTGATACTTCTTGACAATTTCTATCCAGAGACTCTGCATGCTTTCTTTTATGACCTCCAGAAACCTGCAAGGATCACTGAGGGTTTCAGCCCTCCTGAAACTTCATTTTCAACAATTAGGAAGCATTGAAGCACACTGTAACCATCTCATGCTTGCATCAATATTAATTTGACATAGACAAATGTATCCGTTGAAGCTCTATTTGGCCAAACAGAAAATAATGCTAGTATTTTTGTCACCAGAGGATGTAAAGGATGTTTGCATGTAAGTATCCTTAATTAACCTTAACTCTTTCATACAGCCCTAAATTCACTTGGATAGACTTGCATTTGATAAACTAACAGGGTTCAGATAGCTTGCTTTAGGGAAAGTTACCAGTGTTGAATTTGTCAGAGAAGTATGTCTCAATTTGTCCGAGTTATCTGCATCAGAATGTTCTGCAACATGTGTTTGCCAACGTCATAATGGAAAATGAACTCAAAAACAGGATGTACCGAAAAAGTGAAAAAAAGATGTTCAACACGTGTGCATTTACTGATAGTCGCAATATTTACCTGAAGAATGCTTTCTTTTGTGTCCCTGTTCTGATTTACCTCTGCTGAATGACGGCTTCAATAAGGCAACTTGTGCTGCATAAGATTTGAATACAGAGGTAAATGAAGTTATTCCTACTCTAAATTGTGAATAACTTGAGACATGCACAAACAATTCATCTTTAAGGAAATAAAACAAAGATTATCGATCTTGTATTTATTAGAATAAATTGGAGGAAAGCAAAACTTGATCTTACACTTGCATAAATTGGTTCGAACAATGGACTGGGTTTGGCAATCATAATTGATGGAGCCTTTTCTATTGCCAGTGTCATCATTGTCAAGAGATAGACTTGTCATCTGAACTTTGGTATTCCATGGTTTGATACTTGTAGAACATAGAACAGCAGGTTTCGGAGTGCGAAAGTCTTAAATTACAAATACGGAGTAATTAGCATTTTGCAGGTCCTGAAACAAAAATTTCAGTTGTAGAAGAGAGTAATGTGACACATTGTACCTAGAGCCAAAGATTGATCATTCGTCAAAATATTTGTATGAACTAGTCTAAGATCCTCAGAGTTGTTAGTTCTTGCACTGCTCATAGCCTTATCCCAGGTAGGCAGAGTTGCTGTAGAATTGAGTAGTAACTGCTCCTGCAACATTTAAAGATTTGCCAGGGTCAGATTTCATAATTGCTTAGTGAAAATTAAAGGCTAACATCATTGAAGATTAGAAACACAAACTTAAACACATTTAACAATTAAAATTAATTTCTATCAGTTTAATGATCATATAATGATACAGTATTTCCCTGCCTGTGTAGATAAAACAAGCAAATATTTACCTTTTTGTTAATACTTCCTTCAGTCATAGAAGTTTAGGACAAGATTTGGTCAAACTTTTGAAATTCCAGCCATTAATTTCTTATAAAATTGCTTAGTTTTGAAAACAGAAAATTATATGCATAGATTTGCCTTAAAAAGTACTGTTATAATATCATATACTTAATATATTTTATAAACTTACTGTAATACAAAATTGATGGCCGGAATTTCAAAAGTTTCACCGAATCTCGTTGTAAACATTAAATATTTATGACTGGAGGGAGTACACTGAATAGCATCATTACCCTTTCAAAAGAAGGTAGTGTCGGTGGTGGTAGTAAATCTGGTAATGACCTATCCCTGTAATTTTCTTGATTGTCCCCTAACAAAAACTTCCAATATAATTGAGTTTTTATGTATATATAGTGTTTAATTTACAAGTTAATTTTCAATATGCCATGTTTGACAAAGAAACATATCTATTTTTCTATATGTAACAACCAAGAGGCCTTTAGCTTGTAGAGTAAACAAAAATCACTCTTAACATTTGAGTGAAACAAAACAACAATTACAAGAAAACTGCAGTTGCTCAAGCAGTACCTTAATTACTAGTTGATTCTGGCCAAAGAAGTTCCAAGCTGAAATATGGAGCAAAAGTGAAGCAATCTCATAAATTGTTGTTTCTTGCAAATAAAATTAGTGTTTCCTGTAATAATTAATTTTAAAGACAAAAGTACCCATGTAATGATGGCTATATTGCCTAATATGAATATTGGAGCATTAAATTGACTAGAAGCATGCATGAAAGTTGAAGTTCACGGAGAAGATTTTCATTAGACTTAGCAAAAAAATGTCATTTACCATTCAATAATCCCATAAAGGATTGCAAGGCACACATTGCCCTTGATGCTCTAGAAGATTTGGGGGCTGGTTGGAGCCCTGAACCTTGTAGAACAAATGAACAAGGCAACCTACATAAGTATAGGAGGTAATGAACATATCAGATGCATATTGAGATGCATATCAATATAAAATTATAAACTGTCTGAAAGCAACATGCACAAAGAGGATATATAGCAGGAACTACCATATTTCATGGGAAGATTCGTAACCAAATCTGACTGCTGCATAATGACTGTAGTCTGCCTCTAAATCATGCTGCAGATATGTACACGAGTAAAATGTTATTTGAGGGAGCTGATCCCAAAGGAAAAGCATGAAATAAATAAATAAAAAAAACATATAGCCATATATTAAGAAGATAAGAATTGCCACATGGCACCTTAAGTGAGCAAAGCTGCATAAACTTGTCCAAGCACTGTCCTGTAGGGAGTGTCTTGCTAAAACCTGTTATGAGGGGGAAATAAAAATCTTCTGAAAAATGAATTAAGTTGAGGAGTGACACAAAATAAGAAAAAAATAATTTACACCAGTAAATAAAGTTTAATTTTTCATGTATGCCGTTGATTTTGAGCATTTCTCATTCATGCCATCCTTTCATTCAGATCATTTTCACTTGCCATTCTCACCCAATTTTGCTGACCTAGCTCGGCTGCAAACTAGCATCACTGCAGAGGCTGCTCTCTCCTGCTAACCACCATGGAGAAGCTGATCTCACAGTCCAGACTCCAGAACCCCCATCCAAAATATTATTTCTAGAGAAGCTAGCAAAGGTCACTTGAGGTTTGGTGATATGCCCTAGAGGCAATCATAGAGATGATTGTATCATATACTATGTTTACATATTTATCCGACATTATTCCTTGAAATAGATAACTCATTATTGATTAATATATGTGATTCTTTCATGAGACTCTTTATGTTGTATGTTGCTATTTCTAATGGATCCCTGATCAAATATCATATGTGGAATAAATATGTTTAAATGATCAGCACATATATTGATTGATGATCATGTCTCATGGATCATGATATGGAGATACCAAATTAATAATGTAGAGACATGTTGGGGAACATGTGTTGGATAGACTCAATATGAGACACTGCAAGAGGTATATGTGTTGTGCCATCAGTGGTCTCATTTAGTGTTGGTATATAATCCTTAGACCTGAGATTATCATGGTTCCCAACATGTGTAGTAGCTTTCTTAGGGACTGCTAAACGTTACTCCGTAACTGGGTAGTTATAAAAGTAGTCTTCGGGTATGCTATGAAACATGTAGTGGGATATGAATAACTAAGATGAGATTCGCCCCTCCTATGGAGAGATATCTCTGGGTCCCCCGATGTTATCGATTATGGAAGTGCATGGCCATGCTAAAAGTGATTGAGGAGTCAATCGTAGGTTATATAATCTATCACAGGTTCGAGTGAATGATTGAGCTATTAGAGGATGGCACATATCTAGCTTGGAGCTTAATCGATATTGTGAGGCAAAGGGATTCATACAAGTATACACTAGAGGTTCAACCGATATGATCTTTATGTATGCCCGGTGAGTCAATAAGTTCTGCTAGGGGCCGCTATTGACACGTGAACCGAAAAGGAGTTTTCGAGTTACAGCCGAGTGTACATAAACCTACAAGGTCGCACGCTTAACGGGCCGGAATAAGGGGATTGGATGGGAATCCAATATAAGCTTAATTCGGATAGGAATCCTAACAGGAGTCCTACGAGCCTTGGAGGCCTATTCATGGATCCTATAAATTTATGAGGGGGTGTGACCGGCGGATTGATTGGATCACGTGAGAAACCCTAGCTGCCACTTCCCCCGAGCAAAACCCTAGCCGCGCGCGGGTGCTAGCACATCTGCGCGTGGCGTTCTGCCCCTGTACGTGTGGATACCGACAGAGGCGCCGCTGTCTGGCGGTGCTGATCGGCGTAAGAACACGGCGAGGAGAACGCACGAGAAGGTTGGGCTGTTGCGATCGACTACTTCCTCTACATCGACACACGCTACGTCCCCGACGTTTCTTCGGCTTCTTAGCGCTTACTTCCGCTGCACAGCACGTCGAGTGGTAACGATCTATGATCTAATACTTGCATGGTTCCTGGTTTACGCGGTAGAAAATTTTTTAATTTATGCTATCATAGCCTACGCGTATCCCAACACTCCATTCTCATTGTTCAGGCCTTCAGGGCCTCTGACAGTGCCATGGGCACAACCACTTCCTGGCAACCTGGTCTCCACCACCCCCCCGCCAGAGAGCAGTGTTATTACTTACTGATTGGGTATCGACCAGGATAAGGTACTTGGTCACTTGGTCAACAGTCTAACTGTTGGGTCACCAGTTGGACTGCAGATGCCATATATTACGCGATGCTATATTAAATTGCATTGACTGCAAGCAACAGCAATGAAGAATTGGGTTTGAGCCACAGCCTCATATCCATTTTTTGGAAAAAAGAAGAAACAGACATTGGTCAGTTGGATGAGAAACCATCTGTCCAAGCCAAAATTTTCTGGTCAACTGCTTGAACGGTCCATTTTTGGAAAAAGAAGAAATAACGGTCCATGGACCAGCTCAAGCGCTGGGTTCAGTTTTTTATGGTTGGACCCCAGGGCTAATCCATGTCTAATAACACCACTAGAGAGAGGATGGCTAGTAAGTTCTTCTGCATCGCTCGACTGCCTAAGCAAAAAGAAAGTCTTTGGTACTGTTTGCCTGCCTTATCTAGCCTTGTGTTTCAGTGTGCTCGTCACAAGCAGGAGCTTGCAAGGATCATGTGTATATATGCATTTGTTTGTTTTTAGTCATTTTGCTTTTATGGATCTAAAAGCTATGAAAGCTGAGCAGAGCTGTATGCTGATTGGATCTGCGTGACTACATGTGAAAGCTACGAATGCCACCATGCTGGGCAGGGATGGATGCTGTATTTTCCTTTTAACTTTCTGGCATCGCTCTTCTCTGCTTGGCGTCGCTGTGGGGTGCTTCTCACATCACTGATCATGTGCAGTAGAGTGGTGAAGACAATGGCCGGAGGAAGGAGTAACAGATGCATTCTTGTCTTTTGAGGAAAAAAGGCACGGGGGGAGTAAATCTATCACACTATATAACCTCAGTGGTAAACATAAAATGTGGCTTGACAGAGGAATGGCATAAAGAAGAAATGCTCAATTAGTGACAAATTATAAATGTTTCTTAGCACCAAAAAATAATAGTCCCAAAAATGTTTAGCTTACCTATCACATGGCCTTCCTGAAGGGTTGGAAGAGTAGTACATGCTGTTCGGAAATTACAATAATCCAAAATTACTTCCTTGCCGTTTTCAAATGTTTCCATCTCATCAGAGCTAACAAAATCAGAGAACTAGCAGCAAAACGTGTAAGTTCACTGTATTTTTTTTTTCTGCTGTTGTGGCAAAAGAAGTAAAAGATGAAGAATACCTTAGGTGTTGTAAACCGAAGTGCATCTGGTGAGACAGCAAATTCAATATCATCATTTCTCCCAAGCTTGACTTCCTGCAACCATTCGACCAACAAATGTACAAGTTTGTGTCATCAAGGTAAATGATAAAGGACAGAAAATAGTGGATCCGAATAATTAAATAGCTTAACTGCAAGAAAAAAGAGGGTGCAAAAGGCATGGCAGCTATTTTTTATTTTGTAATCCAACACAGTATAATCTCTGTATTTTTTTTTTTGCTTGGTACAGTGTTTACATGGCTTGTTTCACTGAAATAAACTATACAAGAAGGACTTGGGCTTTCGGATCACAGATATGGGTATATGGCACAGCTTGCTTGGTACATTGTTTACATGGCTTGTTTCACTGAAATAAACTATACAAGAAGGACTTGGGCTTTTGGACCCCTGATGTGGCACAGCAGTACATATGTATGATGGATTAATACTCAGAGCATATAGTGTTTTGATAAATCAATTGCAATGAGGTGGCAACTATGGTTTCATGAGCATATCATGGAGATAGGGTGTACATTTCAATTTATTATGTGATGCACTAAAACATATTCAAAACTATCCTACAAAAACAACTCTAATTAATACCTAAAATAATGATAATTAATATTTATTCCAACACATTTACAGGCTGAATTAGCTACAAAGTCAGTTTAATTGATTTGCATCAAGATTACTCTAAACTGTGCTGAAGTCAAGCAAATGGGCTTGTGTAGAAAGAAAGTGACCAGAATTGCTGTTGCATGATTTGTGATATATTTTTGCATTACTGTTTTCCTCCATTGCTTCACATATCCAATCACATGGTCATATCAAGAAATCACATGACACTTTTTGGAGAGAAATGAAAGGACTAACATGCAGCATTATAGAAATGTAAATATTTTTCCATGTTTTTGGACATTGGTTGCTTCACTGATAGGGAGAAATTTACGATACCACGTTCACCGTGCATTGGTCAGTTCTCTCCTTAGTATCAGCAAACGTCGAAAGGACATACACGCTCTCCCCAAGACACCTCCATCCATGCTCAAGCATCAGGGAGCGCAGGTCGCACTCGACAGCTTTCGCAACCAGTGAGCCCGAACAAACCACCTCCTCCTCCTCGCCAACCTACAACGTCCAACGCCGAACAAGCCAGCACATCCTCACGAACCATTACTCGGTGCAGCAAAACGTCGAGCAGGTGGCGGGCGCAGGATAGAAGCGCTCACCGCGGCACCCTCGAACGCCTCCGCGATCCCCGACACGGCCTCCGCGGCAGCGCAAGACTGGCATCTCTGCATCCAGCCAGCCACAGCACGAAACTCGCCGTCAAGAACAGTACGGACGAGCACACATCGCTTTTTTCGGGTGGGTGCGAGCTAGCGCGAAGAGTTGGGAACCTGGTAGACAACGAGGACGTCGGACGGGGGCTGGGGGAGGCACGCGAGGCGGTGGCGGCGGGAGAGCCTGCAGCAGAGGATGTCGAGGTCGAGGGCGGGGACGGCGGCGGGGAAGGAGAGTTGTCGGAGGATGAACGGAGGAGGTGGCGCGGAGGGGACGGCGCGGGCGCGCACGAGGACTTTGTTGCGGAACATTGCAGCTTTGCTGCTCGGAGAGTCGGAGGTGGGGCCTTCCGGCCTGACCAAAGATCTGAGTCCCAAATTTGAATTTTTAACCCATATATAATCCGACAGTCATTAAAATCTCGATGAAATTTTACATGATCCGAATGCTGTGGTAATAGTTATAAATTTTGGCATATGACATATAATTTCGAGTATTATGGCTACAGTGCTTCATAAAACGAACAGTTGATCCATTGATCTCGATCACTCTACTAATGAGATATAATATACTCCATAATGTAAGACTTTCTGGCATTGCCTAGATTTATATAAGATATTAATGAATCTAGATATATATAGTGTTTAGATTATTAACATCTATATGAATACGAGCAATACTAGAAAGTCTTATACTGTGAAACGGAGGAATTACCTCTGATCTCTACAATTATAAAAATTAAAGATGTTTTTGTCGGTACTTTCATAAATCATCCGTGTTTGAGTCGGTTTTAGTTTTTTTTTTCGGTTTTAATCTCTACTCCTCAAAATCCGTAACATAAAAAAGGGCACGCGGAAAAGAAAACACACCATAAAAAACGCGAAAGAAAAACAGAGGAAATAAGAAGTCCGATTGGTACCGGATAAAAAAATAGCAAAAAATTTTGGGTAAAAAAAAAGGCTGACCGTTAAAAAAAATCACCGACTGTAAAGAAAATCATGTGGAAAAACGGATTGGTATCAGTTCGTCTCTTTATCTGCCTTTTTTCCTTTTTTTCGCTTTTCTTTTTTTTCGTCTTTTTTTTTTCCATCCGTATTTTTTATCCACTGTTCTTTCCGGTTATTTTGCCATCGCCTTTTTCCCTTTTATTCATCCATTTTCTTTTCGTCTCTATTTTTTATTCATATTTTTTTTATGCGGAAGGGTGTGCGTATATGGTGAGGATTCTTTTTTATCTACTCGTTTTTTTTCGTCGGGCCGAACCTTAGCACCACCGCCACATTGATCAATCTCCTAGTGCTTTTCCTCCTCTATTTGATTGTAAAAAAATGCCCTCTACTACATCATCATTTTCCCCATTTTTTTTCTTTTCAGTTCCGCTTTAATTCACCAGATTCCATCTTTATTTAGAAGTCACTGTTTATATCCCACAGTTTTGTGGATTCACTCCAATTTTGATAAAAACGACATAAGGAGATTGAGTGAATCAAAAGCCCTCAATCGAAAGATTCGACTGAATTTGATGGGAGTATCGGTTCTGGCATCGTACTACACGGGACTGTCTTTCGGAGGTTGAAGATGACAGTCGACTATGCGAGCTAGGTTATAGTTCTACTTGTGGGCTAGGTCAAAGAGAAGCAGATGGCAGCCGACTATGTGAGCTAGGCCTATAGTTCTACTTGTGGGCTAGGTCAAAAGAGAAACAGTCAAGCAGGAGGGAGGTAGCGGGCTGGACCGAGACTGAAAAGGAAGGAAGAAAATGAGTTTTTGACCCAAAATCAAAGAGTATAATGTATAGCAATCCAAAAATGTTTTTACCCGTTGCAACGCACGGGTATTTTTTCTAGTATTATAAAAAATAAAGATATTTTGGTTAGAATTTTCGTACGTCATTCGTATTTAAGTCGGTTTTTAGTTGGTTATATCTCACCCTATACAATTCGATGTGAGTCTATATACTAACTAGTTCCTCTGTCCTAGAATATAAGCATTTTTAAAGTTGGACACGGTTATTAAGAAAGTAAGTATTGTCGAAACGACAACCGCATACGTCGAAAGACGTGGTTACTCAACAGTGGTTGGAAAGAAACGAAGTGTATTAAATTTAGAATTTTTCACTTGGATCCCCCCATTACATGGCCCTAGGGGGACTATTTATAGCCCTATTACAGATTCTTACTACTAGGGTTTAGGTTATACGGGGGAATTTACATAGTTGCCCTTACGAAAGGAAAATTTACAGGGGTACATAATGTTACGGAGGCTCATGGGCCCCTGATGGGCCGTCGGGCGATCGCCGACCCTATAGCCCCTAGGCTTGATGGGCCGGAAAGGCTTCTTCAGCCCTCGCAGGGGCGAACTTGCCATGGCGAAGCCGTCTTCCTTCGGCAGATACTCTTCGCCTTGCACCCTTCGCCTGGGACACCTCTGGCTTGACAAGGTACTCGCACGACCCCTCGCCTCTCACCGTTCTTGCTCTATAGTCTTCGCCACGGGTTTCGGCAGATTTGGTCGAAGGGCCTCATGCTATCCGCCAACAAGCCCCTCACGGGAAAGGGTGAGATTGGAGCTTCGGCCGAGACCGTGCAAACCATGTGGTATGGTATGCGGCGCCCCCTTTCGACCGATGCTCCTGCCGAAACCTACATTGTTCCTGCGAATAAGGTTTGTTATTTGTGCGACTGGTATTATTTTGCCGCTCTTCGCCTCCTGCGGCCGGTGGCATATACATATATATATATTTTTACTTTTCTCGGGTTGAAAGAAACAGTATTGGGCTTTCCCTTCATGGGCCTTTTTTTTTTACTGTGCTGCTCGGTTGGTGGGAATTTACCATTTCGCCTACCCTTGCGACACGTGGCGCTGTATTACTGGTGGGTAGGCGAACCCTTGGGGTTTTTCCCCCCTGGCCTTTTTCGCTGATCAGGCGTTTGCCTTGGGGTTTTTCCACAAATTATCAATCACACAAAAATAAAAAGAAGGCGGAGGACACAGAGGTTTTATACTGGTTCGGGCCTCTGTGGTGGATAATAGCCCTACATCCAGTTTCTTTTCTCTTTTTCTTTTTTTTCCTTTTTTTTCTTGCCGAAAGGCTTACATAGTGCCGAAGGGCTTGCATAATGCCAAAGGGCTGATATGTACATTTTTACAAGTTGGCGATTTGGGTGCCACCCATTCTAGACATAGAAGCGCTCGAGAGAGGCGGCGTTCCAGGAATGGTCGAACTCGTCACCTTCTAGTGTCGCCAATCGAAAAGATCCCGTCCTGGACTTGTGCTTGATGAGGTATGGTCCTTCCCACTTTGATTCAAGCTTGCCAACAGCAATCGGGTTCGCTTTCTTCCTTAGGACAAGATGACCAGGCATCAGCTCCGTCGGTCGAACTTTTTTGTTGTAAGTTGCCGAAGTGCTTGTGGCATACTTGTGCATGTGCTCAAGTGCTTCGACTCTTACCCCTTCCAAGAGTTCGAGCGATACTTCGCGCCCCTCTTCGCCCCCAGAGAACATCACCCTTGGTGAGTTAGTCCCTAGCTCTGCTGGGGTCATTGCCTCATCGCCATAAAGAAGCATGAACGGGCTAAACTTGGTTGGTCTTGTGGGGTTCGTCCGAAGGGCCCAAAGAACCGATAGCATTTCCTCTGGCCATTTGCCTTTCGCTGGCCCCTCGAGCCTTTTCTTTAGTGCTTCTAGGATCTTGCCATTTGTACGTTCGGCCGCCCCATTTGACTGCGGGTGCGCGACTGACACGAACTTGATTTCCAGGTTAAGCCCTTCGCACATTTCTCTGAACTTATTAGAGTCAAACTGCTTGCCGTTGTCAGTGATGAACTCTTTTGGCACTCCAAAACGGCAAACAATGTTTTTCCATACAAACTTCTGTACTGCTGCCGAAGTAATTGCCCCGAGGGGTTCGGCTTCAATCCATCGAGAGAAATATTCCACAGCCACAATTACGAACTTATACCCATTTCGCGCCACCGGGAACGGCCCGATGATGTCTAGTCCCCATCTGGCGAAGGGCCATATTGGCGCAATGGGCTGCAGATCATACTGGGGTGCGGTTTGGCTTCGGCCATGATGCTGGCAACTTTCGCACTTCTTGATTTGCTCAACACAGACTTTCAACACAGTGGGCCAATAAACTTCTTGTCTAAACACTTTGGAGGCCACTGTTCTTGCGGCCTGGTGTGCGCCACATAGCCCCTGGTGTATCTCCTTTGCCATTTCCTCGCCTTCGGCAAAAGAGATGTAACGAAGTAAGGGTTGAAGTACCCCGGAGCGATAAAGCTGGCCTGAGACCATCTTATACTTCGTGGCTCTGAGTTGCAAACGCTTTGCTTCTGCTTCGTCTTCCGGAAGCCAGCCAGTTTCAAGGTGTTTCACAAACGGGGTTCGCCAGTCATATGGGTCTTCGCCCAGTTTCACCTGGTCGATTGCCATGATCTCCGAGCTGTCCGTGGGCACACTTGGAGCATGCAGGACTTCGAAAAAGATGCCAGGCGAATGTGGGCCACCATAAGCAGCGGATTTCGCCAAGGTGTCTGCTTCTTCGTTCTGGCCTCTAGGTAAGTGTTCGACCGTTATGCCGGTGAAGCATTTTTCCATGGACCGAACGGCCTCCAGATACCTCTTCATCCCTTCTTCTTTTGCCTCGAAGGATTTGTCAACATGGCCTGCCACCAACTTGGAGTCGGTTCGAATTAGCAAGCGCCGGAATCCAAGTGCTTTCGCCTTTCTTAGGCCCAGGAGAATGGCTTCGTATTCTGCTGCGTTGTTTGTTGTGTCGAACTACAGCCTTGCAGCGTACCGAATCGGCACACCATTCGGCGAAAAGAGGACTACCGCAATGCCTGCTCCCCTGTGCGACCACGAACCGTCGGAGCACATCACCTAGAATTGTTCGGCGGGCTCGGGCTCGGAGGCCAATACCGGTGTCCATTCAGCTACGAAGTCAGCTAACACTTGAGACTTGATAGCAGTGCGTGCAACAAAATGCAAGTCGAACGGGGATAGCTCTGCCGCCCACTTGCTGAGCCGGCCAGAGACTTCCTTGCCTAGGAGTATCTCGCCCAAAGGGTACTGCGATGGCACTATGACTTTGTGGGCCTGGAAGTAGTGCTTAAGCTTGCGCGAAGCCATCACCAGGGCATAAGCGAGTTTTTCCATTTCAATGTATCTTGTCTTCGCTCCTTGCAGTGCTTCGGAGACGAAGTAGACCGGTTTCTGTCCGAACTTTGTTTCTTGGACGAGGGCAGCACTGACTGCCACCGGCGAAGCTGCTAAGTATAGTAGCAGTTCGCTTCCTGGGGGTGGGCTTAACAGAGCTGGCGGGCTTTGCAGGTATTGCTTTAGCTCATCGAACG